AGTGCCTTGGTAATGGCGAATTCGTAAGGATCTATTGATTGCATTATAAACATTTTCATTTATTTGTTAAACATACAAATACATTACAACCCGGTCCTATGGACGCTAGAAGCGCGAATTCATATAAGGTGGTGTTACCGGAAAATGAATAAATAAATTATATGTATATCAAAAAATTAATAAGATGAAATGAAATTATTGTTTGATTTTTAACCAAACCTATGTATGTAACTCAATCGCCTAATGGTTTGCCGAACCGTAAACATATGTTTACACATCCAATTTCGTGAGTAGGTACCTGGTTACTCACACCTTTTTTAAGAAGTTTCACTTCTATCATGTGTACGGTGTTACACACGCATTTTTTTTATTTTACAAATATAAGGTTCTTAGCTTACACCGCTGTTTTTGTTTGCACATGTAAATCAGCTGATCGTTTGACACTTTTCACGAACTTATAGGGAAAAACTCTGGACTTACAGGTCTCTTCTGCATGTTACCGAAGGTTTTGTGACCGGAAAATTTTTTTACCAAAAAATGTTACCACTTCTTGTCACCGCGATTCTAGGTACGTTGGTAATGCAGTGAAAATATTCAGCAATTCAGCTATGAAGATTTGTGGAAACTCCTGTATTGCATATTTCACGGGGCAATGTTTTGTTACCAGCTTATGAGATGGTAACCAAATTTACCGGTTACAAGAGAGCACAGAATGCGAAAAAGGTTTAAAAATTGACAGACACTTTAATTACCGTTAGCAAAATTTATGTTACCAGCGCAGAATACTACACAGTTACAGGTCTATTCTGCACGTTACCGATGATTTTGTAACCGGAAAATTTTATTACCAAAAAATGTTACCAGTTCTTGCCACCGCGATTCTAGGTACGTTGGTAATGCAGTAAAAATATTCAGCAATTCAGCTATGAAGAATTGTGCAATTTCTGGCATTGCATATTTCACGGGAGCAATACTTTGTTACCAGCTTATGAGATGGTAACAAAAATTACCGGTTACAAGAGTACACAGAATGCGAAAAAGGTTTAAAATTTGACAGGAACTTTATTTACCCGGTTACAAACTTTTCATTACCAGCGCAGAATACACTTGTTACTCTCTGAAAAGTGTTCCCATGTGAAGGTTTTATGTCAATAGGAACGACTGCCTGTAAGTTCTGACTAAATCCTGTAACAAGACTGCTATTGGAACATACTATATTTGAAGGACCGCGACGATAACCTAAATTCGCCAGTAACACCTTGTATAATGTTACGATTATCCTTCAAACCTTGAGGGATTTCCTAAATATCATCCGGCTATCGCTGGATTGTTAAAGAAATGCTAACGATGACCAAATTGTAGTACAATTAACTTTATTGTACAACAAACAATTTACAATACTCGCTAATACAGTAAAAACACTTTACAATACTTGTTAAAGCAATAACAATGCTTAACTAAACTTGTTAACACAATTAAACTTCCCTGCAAAAATCGTTGGACCATGTAGTCTATTTGTAGTAAATTGGAGTACTTACAAAAGTATTCCTCTGTCAAGCTGTAGCGGACAAACTCGTGTCTCTGCGCCAGCTTATTGTTTGTTATCCGATCACTGCTCGTGTTTTAACGAAATGTGATTGAAGTTGAGCATTTGAAAGCACATTTGCATGTCTGGCTGTAGCTGAACGTGTAGAGATGCTCGCTGTTAGTTCTTAGCTCCCAGCATGTTCGGGTTCGAATGCGTCAGAGGCAACACGTAATTTTTAATTTTTGTCTTGGTTTTTATTAATTTCGAAAAAGCATTTGAGAAGTGAAGAACAAAAGCGTGTACAAACGAAAATATATAACAGCAATGCCATTGTTAATATGTTGTAGTAGTTTTGTACTACTCTAATGTAATGCAGGGATGGAGTATATGGTCCTGCCCTAGGACATCGGAATGTTAATTGTCCCATATTCTTTATATGAATTGTGGTTAATTTTGGAGTACTCCTTGGTCCTTAGAGTGTACTCTTCATACGCATGCATGGAGTAGTCGCGATTTTCGCAGGGTTATAGCTTGCTTATTCGCAACTCACTTTACTGGTAGCTTCCTGACTTGTAACTAACTCAAGCCCAAAATACAATAACGCAGTGGCAGTGGCAGTGGCAGTTTTTCGAAATCAGCTGTTTTTTAGAAAGTGTGGTGTCCAATGAAGCGACTCACAATACAGCAGTGGCAGCTGGCAGTACTGCTCAGTTTAGCCCAAATTCTAAATTCACTGCCACTGCCTTCATCGCAGTAAACTTCGCATGCAGAATTTGACATAAATGAAACGCAGCCAACATCTGTTGATGTCACTGAAGCCTAAAAGGCAACAACAAAAATGTAAACAAACAAAAGGGAATGTCAAAAAAAATCAGTCACTGACAACGCCGTATTGTGTTTTCTACGGCAGTGACTGCCAATATTAGCAGCTGATTTTAAAAACTGTCACTGCCACTGCCACTGCGCTATTGTATTTTGGCCTTCACTCAGGTGTCTGGTGGAGCCCTTATATACCTGCGCTCGCACTCATGGCAACTCCAGAACGTTCTGAAGTTCATCGCTCTTTCTCTTTCTCTCGCTGTTCGCACTGTTCATCCACTTGACGATTTCTCATTGTGGAACATTCTACGTCATTCCTCGAACATTCTGCTTATTTCTCGTTGTTCGCTTTGTGTTGCCGCAGTATTCGCCACAATAAATTCCCCTTGATTCTGTAATTTTCTCGTTCGCTTTGCCGTATTATTCGCCACAATATTTTCGTTCAATCGTAGTCGTTAATATTTTCATGGTAGAAAAGGCAAAGCATTCCCTATTTGCTACTGGGATTGTGTGCGGGAACGAAAGGCTCTTTTTTCCAGCACCTACTACTGGCTGATAGCACTGGGTTTACAAAAACAAAATAACGTACGAAAATTGCGAACTGACGAAGCAATGAGCTTGGCGTGAATACGGCTATTGTTGTATTTTCGTTAAACACCATTATCGGTAACGTAAGAAAATGTAACCCTGCAACAACGTTATTCACAGCTGCTCTTCTCAATGAGAGAAATTAAACAATAGATTTGGTTAATTTATTTAATTGGACGAATATAGTACTTCATTTGCGATAAGCGTATTATATACCCGGAGCTTGCGTAATCTCCCGTCAAGACGCACTTATAATTATCAACAATGGACTTCACGGACAAAGTGGTGCTAATCACGGGAGCCAGTTCTGGCATTGGAGCCTGTACTGCCGTAAAATTTGCCAAATTAGGAGCCCTGCTCGCACTGAATGGACGTAATGCAGAGAACCTACAAGCTGTTGCAGAACAGTGTGCCGCTGTTGGCAAAGAACCTTTCCTGGTTGTCGGAGATATTTCTAAGGAAGCTGACGTGGAAAATGTTTGGCAAGAAACTTTAAAAAAATACAACAAACTGGACGTATTAGTCAACAATGCTGGCATCATCGAAATAGGTAGTATTGAAAATACCAACCTGGTACAATACGATCGTGTGATGAACACAAATCTACGTGCTGTGTATCACCTAACAATGTTGGCCGTTCCGGAGCTCATTAAATCGAAAGGAAATATTGTTAACGTTTCAAGCGTAAATGGTATACGTTCTTTTCCTGGAGTTTTGGCATATAATATCTCTAAAATGGGCTTAGATCAATTTACGCGATGTATCGCCCTAGAACTGGCCCCAAAAGGTGTACGCGCAAACTGTGTTAATCCTGGTGTCATAGTGACTAATATACATAAACGCGGCGGCATGGATGAAGAGACGTATCAAAAGTTCTTGGAACATTCAAAAACAACTCACGCTTTAGGTCGTGCTGGCACTGTGGATGAAGTTGCAAATGCTATCGCCTTTTTATCCAGTGACTTGGCTTCGTTCACAACTGGTACGAGTTTGTCAGTAGACGGTGGTCGACATGCTATGTGCCCTCGATGAGGTGACCAATTATTCAGAACAAATACAACGGCGCATTTACATATGTATATACACTTTATGGCTAGATAAATTGTTATTTTATGAATATACTTCGTTATTTAAAATACAAATACTGCATCTACTAAATTATCCACAAGTTAGTTTTGTAAATTCAGATAGAACTTTAGCTGTATTTGCACGTTCAAAACACTCACAGGTTATCAAAAATCACTCAAATCAAAAACTAAAAACGATGCACCGCAAAGTAAAAACAATAGTTGTGTTTGTTTACTCATTTCTAGTTAAATCCAGGAAAAGTGTTACGAATTTTCATGTTTTGGCGTCTTCGTTCGCAAAAACTTGCAATGTAGGGGAAATTTGAGAGAGCGAAAAATGACAGTTCAAGTTGCAAGTTTTTACTGGATAAATTTTTACTTGTAAGAATTTGCCTGTACGAAAAACAGCTGATCGCATGGTGCTGGTTGAACTACTAAGAAAACGTGTCGGTTTTTATTGTTGAATTTCACAAAATAAACTTGTGTTTTATTAGGAATGTGCTGCAAATAAACAACAAATTTATCAGCTGTTCATGAAACTTGCAAATTATTAGGTGCAATCCCGTATTCCTCGGACTCGAACCGAGTACGGAATCGATTTCCAGTAAAATCTGACTGAATAGACAAAATAAGCAAAAATTTACATCCAAAATTTGGAGGTTATGTTGAAGTTGACAGAAGTTACCATTTTTTACTAGAAAGCGATCCCGTACTTTCCAATGTTACTCTCTCGCTCTGAGCGAATTTTTAGTTTTTGACAGTTTTACTAGTCCGAGTCCGAGGAATACGGGATTGCACCTATTACTGGATTTGCGTTCGCGTACTTTTTTGGTAATTTTCTATGAGCGAATTCTTAGTGCTCTGTCACACGGTCAGTGATAATCACGATATTTGGATCGCGATCCATATTGATGGATCGCGCACGAATGCTACATGTTCAATATATATCGCGTC